TATATATATATATATCACAATGAATTAACTATTTTTATCTATCCAAAGCTCTAGATATTAATAAACCAAAACAAATACGTACAGGATCTGGATAAAATGGAAGAGGTTCAAACTTGGCATCAATTTTGTGGAAAGCCAACTCCTGCTCAAGCTCATAGTGTTTCTGACAGGCGCGGGTCAACTCCACTGTTTTCTGCTTCAGCTGTGTAATAAGAGAGAGCTTATTTAAACACAACACTTTACATACCACCAGAAAACACATCAGCCACACTTCACTACAAACTTTAAGGATACATGTTCTACAGAACTTTTACACTCATGGAAATACACAGAGCAATGAATGATATTTCCATTAACATAGAATGCATACATGCAGAAACCTCAGAAACATGCTAAAGAACATAGCAATACCATACCGTCAACATCGCTCTCTAAAGCGAACACCTGAGAGGACAGGAGAACATAATGTTGACATCATACAGTGATTGGTGGGGCACATGTGAATACCTGACAGAGAGAATCCAGCAAAGGAGCTTGATGTGGAGGCTGAGATTGAAGCAGGAATGAAGAGAAGAGGCATGCAAAGAGTTTACGTAAAAGCACAGGAGTGAAAGATACATCAAATCAACAGGGAAAAGAAAAGTTTAAAGGATAGAAAATTTAGCTTTGCCATCAAAGGAATTAATTACATTTTACAACATATTCAGATAGAATATAGTTTTTTTTTATTTTAGTTATATTTCACAATATTCCTGTTTTACTGTATTGTGGTCAAATAAATGCTGCCTCTTAGTATATGTCTGTCATCTAATTTGAAAATTGTTTTAAATTAAAAACAAACAAACAAACAAATAAATATACTGTGCAGTGCAGTGAAGCAATTAGCATAAAATTAATGTTCTAATAGTTGAAACAGTTTCTGTTCTCTTTTTCCAAATGCAAACTCTCAGAGATGTTCTGTTCAGTTAAACAGATGGAAACACACACACACACACACACACAAAACAATTTTCAACACTGTTCACAAAGTACCTTTAGAGCAGGTGACAAAAGCATGGAGTAAGAAGAGAGAGCTGAACAGGAAATTGTCTAGAAAAGACAGGAAAAGGAAATTTTGGAAAATGAATATATGTGCTCACTATGAGTGCATTTTGAGTTTGCAATAAGGAAATTAAAGATTAAAGTCAACATGTCATTATTTGCACTAACATTATTTCCATCACAAGTCAGGATGTTTCAGATATAGAGCAAGTTATTACGGTAAATTCTGATTAAGAATTAAGAGAATATTTTATTTTTGGTCTTTGGATCAATATGCAGTGATGAACTGTGCATAACAGCATCAGGACAATGTAAGGCAAGACACCGCAAATGGACAGGGATAATATTTTAATTTATAGATATCACCATACTTCCTCAGTTGATTAATCACAGTATATTAAGACAATTGTTTTTTTTTTTTTATTACAACTATTCTGGAATGTTATGTGAATATACAACTGAGGCATTATCTAATTAAATAAGCATATTATCTAGCATATTGATTTGCATACATTTCCAGAATAGAAATCTAAACATTTGATAAAGACAAAATTCCTGTTTCATTTTGTTGACATATTACAGTTGAAGGTTTCACAGAGGTTTTAGACACCTCTTCTCACTTTTTCATAAATCAGAAAATACTGTAACAGCCAGAAAAAAAAACTATTTTTTTAATGAATAAAATGTTATATAAATAAGTGGGATTTACATTTGAATAAAGCTCTCTGTAAAAAAATACAAAAATAAATAAAAAGGGAAAGTCTGGTACATGTAAGTACTTTGAAGTGGGACTTTTTGGCTCAATGCAGGAGAAAAAAAAATATTTGAGAAAACAGCCTTTAAAGAAATGTATTGTAATTGTAATTTTTCTTTCCACTAGTCTGAAAGAACTCATGTCATTGAGGCAAAACAGCCCAAAATCTCAAAACTGACCAACGTATGTAAAACGTAATGGTTCCCCTGTAGTATCTTGCCTTAGGTAAATATATAATTAAAAAATAAAAGTACAATATTTCATTTTGAGGTTTTGTTAGTGGTGCTTCTTAAGGAAATGCTCTGAAATTAAACTATTGTTTACATGTGATATTACAATTATGTGTGTGAGGACAAAATGATCAACTCTATTCTCACTGGGGTTGATGACAGTGAAGACTCATCACCCACCAGATCAGATTTGGTGTCCAGTTCTCTCCAGAGTTCCTCACGGCTCCGCTGTTGCTCATGATGCTGTTGCCTCAGGTTTTGATTGAGCGTTTCCTGCCGCTCTAGTTCTTCCAGTGCTGTGGTCTGCTCTCTCTGAAGCTGTGCAATCTCTTCAGTTCTCAACTCCAGCTCTTGCTCCAAACGCTCCACTTCCTCTATAAGGACAGCACAAAAGGGTTGGAGTTCCTCACGGCTCCGCTGTTGCTCCTGATGCTGTTGCCTCAGGTTTTGATTGAGCGTTTCCTTCCGCTCTAGTTCTTCCAGTGCTGTGGTCTGCTCTCTCTGAAGCTGTGCAATCTCTTCAGTTCTCAACTCCAGCTCTTGCTCCAAACGCTCCACTTCCTCTATAAGGACAGCACAAAAGGGTTCCGATTATAACAGCACATATGAAAATAAAATAAATGTGGAAGATGAGATGGCGTACCCATGTGAAAGCGCTGATGTGCTTGCTCTCTTTCCTGTGGACTGATTGGTTGTCCATCCAATATTTCCAGTGACCTCAGATGGAAGATTAGGAAGAGGTGATAATGGGGCAGGCTGGAGATGGGATTTTCTGCTAATGTCAGACATGTCAGGTTCTTCAGGGGCTTCAGTTTAGTTATCTCATGAAGCTAGGTCACAAAAGTAGAGAATGTTGCAAGTAGCATAAATGTGTATGAACAAAAATTGAACATCAGTGATTTACTTTTGATGTGAAATATATGATATTAAAGGAACAGTTCATCCAAAACTGAAAATTCTGTCATTATTTACTCACCTCCAAACCTGTATGACTTACTTTCTTCTGTCGAACACAAAAGAAGATATTTTGAAGATTGTTGGTAACCAAACAGTTTTGGTGCCTCTTGACATCCATTGAAGAAAAATATTGAGACTTTTTTTTTTCCAAAATATATATTTTTATGTTCCACAGAAGGAAGAAGGTTATACAGGTTTGCAACAATATGAGGGTGAGAAAAACACATTTTCTTTTCTTTTTTGGGTGAACTATCCATTTGAGGACTTTCTTTGTTGATTGGCTGTTTTAAACACATGATTAACAAATATAAGCAAATGCTGAGACAGAAAAGCTCAGATAAATTGTACCCACTGAGAATATCTTGTTGCTCTGTAGATTTATAGTATGAAGAGATCTGAGTTTCTTTGCCATCCAAACTGGAAGATGTTTAATGTTGTTGAAGGCCAAATTCACAACCTGAAGATTTGTCATGTGCTCTAAACCTTCAATTTTTCTGCAGATAAACGAAATATAAATTATATTTAAAAACTTGTATTGGCCTTTCGAACATTATACCATTCTATCTTTTATTCTACTATGGAAAATTTTATTTTATTTATTTATTTAAAGGGGTCATATGATGCTGCTAAAAAGAACATTATTTTGTGTATTTGGTGTAATGAAATGTGTTTATGTGGTTTAAGGTTAAAAAAACACATTATTTTCCACATACTGTACATTAATGTTTCTCCTCTATGCCCCGCCTTTCTGAAACGCGTCGATTTTTACAAAACTAATCGGTCTGAAAAGCGAGGTGTGCTCTGATTAGCCAGCTATCCAGTGCGTTGTGATTGGCCAAATACCTCAAGCGTGTGACGGAAATGTTACGTCCCTTACCATATTGTGATGCCTGCGGCAACCACATGTGACGACCCCGGGCTGGACTCCGCTTCGTCCACGGTGAAAGCCGATCCGGCGATCCACAGCGCGAAGTTGATGTATTTCCTCAGCGACAAGCACAGATCAGCTCTAGGCATGACGAAGCGATATCGTCCTCTTTTGGAAGGCCAAACAAAGTAGTTTCGCTTTCACAACGAAAAACACAGCGGCCTAGCGTGAGGGGAAGCCCCGGCTTAGCGTGCACTGAGGCCGGGATAGAGTGAGCTGAGGCCGGGC